GCTCTGGACAGCTAGAGGTGCGCATTCGCAAATGAGAGGACTTGCTTTTGGCCGAAATGACGGAACTAATGAGCACGACTTCAGGTGCAATACATTTGTCAGGCTCTAAATGTGCCAGATAAAACAAACTCCAGATTTCTGCATTTTGTTTTATAAGAAGGAAATGCATATTTTCATTTTTGGTAGAATGACTGAAGTATTTTCATAAATGTGGTACTGAAGTTAAATACACAGATGGTTTTTTTTATTGTTAGACGAGTGAAAACTTCAGCAAGATTTTTGCTTCTGCAGTTCTGTTTAGTCGAGTTGGAGGATGGGGAGGTTCTGTGTTTTTCCAATGAAATCTTATCCTCTGCTGCACCTCTACAACAACAAGCTGGACCAGAGCGAGCTGATAGCAGATGGAAATCACCTCGGCTGTTTCCATACGACTGGTCTTTTCAAAGCAGGGCAGGCGGAGGGAAATGAAAGATAAGCAGACAAGTCAGCGAGTATGTTTGACAGAGAGATCCCTGTCAAAATATATTGTCACATCTCAAAGATTAAGGAGTAAACGCATTGGCTTTGTGTATAATATCAGGTGATAAAGCCTTTATGTAATCACTAAACTCATGTTAGCTAATAAAATTGAAAATGGGGTTTTGCTACAGATATTTTAGCACCATATTAAGTACTTTATCACAAAATATTAATAATTTCATAATTTGTTCGAAATATTTTAAAGTTAATTTGACATTAGTATTAATAAGTGCATAATTATTCCTATAAGTAAATATATAGTCTGGCCACGACCATAGACAGAGTTCTTTCATGAGGTGGAATCTACGGTTGTCTTTCAAATAGGGCTGCAGCTATCGAATATTTTTGTAATCGAGTACTCTATCGAATCTTTTTTTCGATTAATCGAGTACTCTAATAAATTACCCTTTTGTGTTTGTAAACCTTTATATCATATATTGATGAGCCAAGATGGCGCCGAGTATGGCTGCCTCGTCGCGAGCTCCACCAAGTTCCAACATTACACGCTCCATACTGTACATTAATGCCACTGTTTTGCACATACCAACCTCTGTACATTTTATATCTCTTATCTTATTGTTTACTTTATTCATTTGTATACTTAGATTAGCCATTTTTATATTTTACTTGTTTTTACATTACTGTATTTTTGCACAACTATATTGCTGTGAAGCTCGCACACAAGAATTTCACTCGCATGTACTGTACCAGTGTACCTGCACATGTGACGTGACAATAAAAGTGATTTGATTTGATATCAAATAGCATGTTATAATTATGACAGACCTCTTAAAATGAGCAAGCAATTGCCAGTTATTCAAGTTTTATTCAAAATTAGTTTGCATAACTTCAGCACTTCAACTTTACTTCACAGTAAACAAATGCCTGTGCAAAAAATAAGTAAACCTGAGCCGATTTTCCCCTCGTGCGAGAATCTGCTAGCCTGCAAGCCAGACAAAAACTAGGAGGATAACGCTGCGAGCGGCTGCGGCCCAAACAGAACCAGAACCGCTCACGGCGCAAACAGCTCGCCGGCTGTTTCCCTATTAACACACGTCCGTTTTAATTTCCACACTTTTTTTCTCACACTAACAAGGATTGCCAAAAGCATGTTTGCTGTGGTTTTGTCAAATTATACTGATCACAAAACATGTATTTACTTTCTTTCGTTTTCCTCCGCCACTCATAAATACCCGTGTCCTCCTGCAGAAACCCCGAGGGACAACAGACATCAATAACACAATAAAAAGTCCGACGTGTTGTGTAAAAACTGCTATTTTTAGCAAATTTTAAGTCCGACGTGTTGCTACCAGATGTAAGGTGTGAGCTGAAACTGAGCGCTACAAACGAAAAAGTCGCAGAGTCCGCAGAATATATAGAAAAACAGGCTAAAATGCATTATCTTGTAGAGGCTCCGAGTCCGCTTGCAGAAGTGACATTTACAGGTGCTGCAGCACGGAGGATGTGGTGTTGTGGTAGGCTACATCCATTTTACAGTATTTACACTGGACTACGTTTTCCACCTTACGACGTGAAAAATGGTTCCACAACTTTGACATTTTCTGTCTTTTTTGCACTCCACCGGGGTTCAAGTTGTCCGCCATGGCTTAAGAGAAAGTTAAGTTATATTCGCTACTCGCGTGTGCATTCAGTCCAGTGGGCATGTGCGTCACTTATTTCGGTCCGGGTGAAACATGACCCCGGGCGATTGCAAAGCCATGAATTAATTAAATATGAATTAAACGAATCCTCGAGGCAGAGAATTTGACTCGAGGATTTTTTGTACTCGAATTATTCGAGGTACTCGAGGAATCGTTTCAGCTCTACTTTCAAAGTTTCTGCGCATGCTATTGGTCAGTGCTAGGACCAATCAGAGCAACAAACAATGTGGCATATTCATTGCTACTAAAATCAGCTAACAGGGCAGTCCGCCATTCACTGTAAAAGGAGAAGAAGAAGAAATAAAAGTACCTATATCCCGGACGAGCCCCCATTTATGTTACGACTCAATGGGGCCACAGCATTAAATAAATTTAAGAGTATTAATCAAAATAGCCATTTAAAAGGCCTCACCAGAATGGTTAAAAGACAGGAGCTCCCAAGTGATCTGCACCAATCACCAAGAGTCAATGTGACACATTTCCTAAATATTTCCTAAAAGGTCACAGAGTTTTCCCAAACTCATTTGGAAATCTGCTCACGTTAGTTTCTGAGAGAGAGACAATGGAGATAAAAGTTAAGGTTGGTTTATGCTTGACGCGTCGGCGAGGTCCGCACGGCTCCGCGCGGAAAAGTTGCGTAATTTTAACAACCACGCTCCTCCACCGAACCTTCGCACGGCCCAAACTTTCCGCACCGCGCACCTAGGAAATTTTCTAACCACGCGGACAGTCGGACGCGGAAAAACATGGCGGACTGGCAAGAACTAGTATGGCAGAGGTTCGTAAATATAGACATTTGTATGTTTCAGCTCTCAAAGATCACCGTGATCAACATGTTGTTAATAATTCTTGGAGAGAAATAGCTCGCACTGTCGGAAAAGACGAGGACGCTGTTAAAAAACGCTGGAATGCCATGTTGTAAACAACAGCAATTTTTACTTCTACTATGGCGTAGTGTTGGATGCATGCCGTAGAGCTCCATGCTGCCCCCTACAGTTTGGGAGAATATTGGCTCACCACAGAGACAAGCCGCATGAACCATAAACGCTGCAAGTTGTGAAGCGCGTTCCATCCGCGAGCCGCATCACCAAGCGGAAAGTAAATGCGTCAAACATAAACCAAGCTTTAGTGATGAAGTTGTGAATAAAATTCTTGTCATTTGCAAATAAATGGCAGCATAATTAACACACTTATCATAACAAGGGCATTCACGCGACTGTCAGAATTTGTTTACAGTTGCGCCTTGCGCTCGGCCATGTTTAAAATTGGTCCTAAAGTCTCGTACGAACAAAATTCGGACTAATTCCCTTTTGTTATTGGTTTTTGTGTCTCCATCCCAGTCTGGATTTACCTGAACTTTAATAGATTTTTACAAACGTAATCTTTTGTTTTTCCTTTTGTAGAAACTACAAACTAAAGTTTCCACAGAGCTCACTAGCTTTAACCCTTTCACGTCCACACTCATAAAACAAAAAGTCATAATTTCTTCTGAATATTTTATTTTACATTTTTGAGAGTTGATAAATGTTGCAGTGTAATGAATATATATATATATATATATATATATATATATATATATATATATATATATATATATTCCGTAATATTCTTAACTTTTTAAAGAATTTTGTCCTCATTCCTAAATATTTTTATCATTTGTTTGTTAATAACATTGAGTTCAGCACGTGTGCGATCTGATTGGTTGATCTGATAGTTAACGTTCCATCTGAGAGAAAGCCAGAAAGAAACAGCAAAATCCCGTTTTTAGATGTTTATTTTCCTAATATCAAACTTTATGTTAATTTTCAAGCATCTAGAACTTAAACAGTCAAACAAACAGTTATCATTTAAGTTTAGTGCAGCTGTTTGAACAGGGATCTCAGATTAATAATATAAAAGTTATTATTCAACTGACCTTGTTAAAGCTGTCGGCATCACTGAAGAGTTAATACTTTTATCTTTTGTAAAAGATGAGATTATTTTTCAACTTATTTATTTCTGGATTTAGCTCTCTAGTGATTTCCAACATGCCTTTGAGCAAAGTGTTAACCGTCCACCTGCTTCTGGCGCCAGGGGTGCCTCCAGAAAATTTTGATTGGGGTGGCCAGATGGGGCCAAATAAATTTTTGGGGTGGCACACCAAATTGGTCCTTGTGGTAACTCTGGGAGAGTTTAGCCTGTAGCGATTTGTTGCATTGCTCCTTTATTCATTTTTATTTTTTTTTAAAAAGCACTACATATCCAACACATTTAACTTCAATTTTACAAACATTTCAGAAAAATACATTTCAGTTATTTAAAATGTTATTCCAAATTTAATGTAAAATTACAGTTTTTAGGTTAATTCACCTGTGTTGCTGTGTTCACACACAAAAAAACCTATGCAAATAAAAACTTTTTTAAAATAGTGAGCAGTGGAAACATTCATTTTTTTATTCTGATTATTTCTTTACTTATTAATTGTATTATTTTAATTTTGTTTTAGAATTATGTCTTGAATAAACAAGATCAATATATGGTTTAACTGAACATTAATATGATTTATTAACACTGACTTTTCCTGGGGGGGCCAGCACTTTTCTAGGGGTGGCCATGGCCACCTCTGGCCACCCCTTGGGGGGGCGCCCTTGTCTGGTGCTAAAGCAGAAGCTCCTCCGTTCTGAGTTTCTCCGATGTGAGCTGGTTTTATTTGGCCAAAGGTTGGATTCCTTTTGTGTAAATGAAAATCCCAGCTGGTCGATAAGGAATGATTCTTTCTCTTCGGAAACTTTCATTGCCCTTTTTTTTTTTTGTCCCTCTGCTGTCTCCTCGCCCGCCCAGAGTCAGGCCATGAGAATCGTTCGGACGGTCGGTCAGGCATTCGAGGTTTGTCATAAACTGAGTCTCCAGCACGCACAGCAGAACACAGAAGGACAGCAGGACAGCAAGGGCGAGAAGAATGGCAGTGACTCATCTGCTGCAGGTATACACACACACACACACATCAATATGCACCATGCACATTCCCTTTATTTGGAACTAACCATGAATTTCCTGATCTGCTCTCAAATCTGAAGAGTTCTCTCTGCTGTTCTCTTGTTTGCTGAAAATCCCGAAGGATAAAAGTGCTGCAGAGTTTAGGCTCGGCTGATCAGATACACTTATGGCAGCTTTAAGGAGATGGTGTTGTAACGTCTGACTCCTTTCACTTTCAGCTTTTCCCTTCAAGCGTCAACAAAGCAAATCACCGGTCTCCGTTAAATCCCAGTTTGCCACCAACAGTCCCAGTTTGCAGCAAATTCAAACAAAAATGCGGAGCTAGCCGACAGAGAAAGAAAGAAACGCTTGTATAATAAACAAACTACAACGTGTCAGGTTGTTTCCTGCAGCACCGGAGTGGTCCGTGGTAGGTGTTGTGCAGGGAAAAGTTAGCCTACCACTGAGACACCGCGTGCCTCCATCACAGGATTGCGCATCGCTAATTAAATCTGCACACTAAGGGAGTAAACCACTAGAAACGCTGCTACGCTAATCTGAGTTAACTGCTCCAGTTTCACGTCACAATGATCTGGGTCCTCCTGGTGTCAAATCCGGCTGAAATGAGTTCATATCTCTGTTCAGATAACCTTGTAACTCAAAATTCATTCTTTATAAAATACTGCCGAGTGATTAATTGTAAAATTTAGATGACTACACTCTTTGATCTTGGCTAATTTGGACTAGCTGTTAGCTCATATTGATCCAAACTGATGCTGTACAAAAAGCTGTAATTATTCTTAAGTTTTACAGAGAAACACGTGTCAAAATGCCTTTAAAGAGCAAGTCACCCCTACCAGATTCTTACTCATCTCCCACTTCATGTTTGAAAAATGCTACAAATGCTGTTGTCTGGCAGAACGAGAGGGCGGAGCCGCTAACAAATACACACACACAGGCTCACAACAACATTGTGACATCATATGGTACCAGCTAACGTTCTAGGGAACCTCTTAGCCAATAGCGATGGCAGATTTAAATTCAAATGCAGTGCTGAGTTTTTACCTGACAACGGCACAACACTGACAGTTTTAGGCAGAAAAATACAATTTTAACTAAAATGCACTAAAGTGCTAAACTATTGACTACACGCGTCTGCAGCACGATTAGACACGCATTTATATCGTTTATCAGAAAAAACTGTTGATTTGGGGGTGACTTGCTCTTTAAGGAGTAAAAAGAAGGCCAAACATGTTATTTTAAACGCCATGCCTCGTGGAAATCGGGTCATCTCCTGCTCCTGTAGTTATTTACAGAAACCAGATGTGTTTAATCCTAGAAAGGCACAAAGGGAGAAGCAGGAGTGGGCGTTCCGGATGAGTCAAGCCAAAGGAAAAGAAGGGCACCACTCATCGGCCCCAGACAAGCCGCGCTTCCCTGCAGCTTTTTGACACGTGTCTCTGAATGTAGTCTGTAGACACAGACTTCAGTAGGAGAAAGAGTCCAGAGTTGTTCCGGTTATTCCTGGGGCGACGGTGGCACAGGAGTTAAGTGCTCGCCTCGCAATCGGAAGGTTGCAGGTTCGAGACCCGCTCAGTCTGTCGCTAGGGCAGCTGTGGCTACATTGTAGCTCATCCCCACCAGTGTGTGAATGTGTGTGTGAATGGGTGAATGACTGATTGTGTTGTAAAGCGCCTTGGGGGGTTCCAGGACTCTAGAAGGCGCTATATCAAATACAGGCCATTTACCATTTACCATTCAATTCAATTCAATTTTATTTATAAAGCGCCAAATCACAACAAGAGTCGTCTCAAGGCTCTTCACACAGTAACATGCCAATCCAGGTCAGTTCATTAAGCCAATCAGAAAAAAATGTTTCCTGTATAAGGAACCCAGCAGGTTGCATCAAGTCACTGACTAGTGTCAGAGTCTTTACAGCAATCCTCATACTAAGCAAGCATGCAGCGACAGTGGAGAGGAAAACTCCCGTTTAACAGGAAGAAACCTCCAGAGAATCCTGGCTCAGTATAAGCAGCCATCCTCCACGACTCACTGGGGATGGAGAAGACAGAGCAGACACACACACACACACACACACACACCAAGCAATGTTTCTATGGTTACATTGTGATTTCTTAGTAAATATTCTATTTGTCGAGAGATAAACTTTATTGTATTTATCCTAGTGAATCTATAATTAAACGGGTAAACTAGTAGTAGATCATTCAATGTGAAGGAATCAAAAAGTTATTATCAGGAGAGGGAGAATGTTTAAGTGGTTAGCAGCAGTGTGCTAGATGTTGGCCCCCTCCATGAGGCCACCACAGCTCAGCAGAACATCATTGTCGCTTCTTCTGTGGAGAGAAACACTTAGAGAAAAAAAAAAGTTTTGAAATAGCAGGAAATAATACGGTTAAAGAGCAGATTGTAGAAGAAAGCCCGCTCCGGTGCAGGGCAGGAACGTGTCATCTAAAAGAAATGCCCTCTGGAGCCGAGCTGGCTTTCACATGCTGATGAGCCCAAAAATCGCCCACGCACTTTGACTGTACATTCACACCGACTGCCACAGGGGCCCACATGCATGCAGAGAGAGGCCTCTACCCTCTCGCCGTCCTGGTGTGTTAAATAACACAAGAGCCATCACACACAGCCGAGGAGCTTATCTGGAGCACTAATTATTGTGGCAATAAAAGGAGAGGAGGGAGATTGTGGATTAGCGGATTGGCACGCACAAGAAAAGAGCATCGAAGAAGAAGAAAGGGACTCTGAATGAAGATGAGCAGCTGAAAAGCGTCTTTAAAGACGAAGGAAAGTGATGGAGGACTGGGTTGAGCTGCAAGAAGAACAGAAATGAAAGTTTTGATCCAAATAAAAAGTTGAAGCATTTGATTTGTATTCCAGCAATCCTACATAGATCAAATAACCAATATAATCCTCTTTAAAAACAACTTTACAAAGGAAAGAATGAATTAAAGAAATATGCAAATCAGGCAGAGGTGGGTTTGGAACATTTCCGAGTAACCCTATCCCTTCATGTAACGCTTCAGTTAGCATCAGTCAGAAAACGGGCCGGCTTCACTTCCTAACTTATTTTAATGCCGTTTCGTCTCAGTTTTTACTAAAAAAAATTCATAAATCAGAGATTGTACTCTGAATAATATCCTCTTTTCTGGCAATCCTCCTTGATTCTGTCTACAAATATAGACCAACTTGTTCTCAAAAACGAGGTCAAAGCGAGAACGCGTTCAATGGCTTCCACAGGAAGTAAAGCAGCTTTCTGCAGCCGTTGATTTCACATAAAGACTTCAGGTAAACACGGCAACTGAAAGCCGAAAGTGTAGAAAAACTAAACGAGGATGGACGATGTAACGGAGAAAGACAAACGAGCAAAAACCGACAGGTGTGTGTCGACGGTCAGACTCCTGGTTATTTATGAAAACACGGTTTAAAACAACTTCATCACACAGGAAATATTTCTAGTGAGAAAAATACAAATATCTACGTTCATGGGTTAAAAATCCCATCTGTGATGAAAACACATTTGTTTTATAGGACGCTGAAGGAACTGAGGACACTCAGTGGCCGGCTGTCAAGCTGTTGGCACGAAGTTTTAAGTATGGCGGCGGGGACAGCGGGGTAATTGAACAGCAGCTAAAAATTAGAGGGCAGATAAAAAGTGACCAAGTTGTAATAAGTTTGAAGAATGAGAATCGTTCAAGTTAATCAGAAACACCTTTGTAGGAACGTGGAGCTCGTTAAATGCGTCAAACCACATTTTATAGTCGTTTTTCTTTCCCCTGGATTGTTGGAGTGACAAGATGGCTCCTGTTCTCCACAGCCGGTCTCGATTTTAGTCATGTCAATACCTTTTTGCTTTAAAGGGGATATTTTAGACAAGACTCAGCAGAGTCTGGGGACTAGGTGTTAGACTCTCCAGTCTCTGGTGCCGAGGTCACTGAGGTGGTCAAAAAAAAACTCCTCAGTGGCAAGGCCCCGGGGGTGGACGAGATCTGCCTGGAGGCTCTGGGTGTTGTTGGGCTGTGTTGGTTGACGTGGCTTTGCAGTATCGCGTTGACATCAGGGGCGGTTCCAGTGGATTGGCAGAACGGGATGGTGGTCCCTCTATTTAAAAAGGGGGACCGCAGAGTAGGGGTTGTATCAACTAGTCGACTTCACTGATCTGTCGTGACTTTTTATGCCTTTCATAGACTAGTCGCTGTCACGTGATACTGACCGACAAGATGCAGTCCTCAGAAAAGACAGCAGGTGACTCGTCGCGCCAGAGCGTCTGTATTGGACGCCAGCGGTAAAACGGACATTTGACCGAATTGTGACCTTTACCCCCTTGGGGGGACGGGTTTTCACAGCATCTGTCTGCATTCCTTCCTTCGTGGGGGTTGCTGTTAGCAGCTCAAGGCTGCCTTGGCGTCAGATTTGGATAACAAGACTTTGTTTGGGTCAGGCAGAGATCATTTTCCTCTCTGCCTTGAAGTCTGTATTGATCATCCAAGTCCTCCAGTGAAGCCAATTTAGGTACTAATCATCCCCACACCGTCCGGTGACCCTCTCCGAGATGATGTCCGTTTTGCGCACTAATACCGGTAACGCAGCAAGGACATTTCACCTCGAGTAACGTCCCAGGCTGTGAGGTCACCGCCTGGGCGGTGCTTTTCCTTGGGTGCGGGTCGCACTCCAATCGCTCCCGTCTCCCCAAATTTCCAGAAAACCAGATATTCTCCCACTCCAATCAGAAGAAATACAGTGATCGTCAAGCCAAATATCCACATGTCTTCGACATCCTCAATGGACAGCTGAGAGAGGCAAATGATCCTCCAGACCTTCCAGGAATCGAGCGCATATCCCGCTGCGTGTGTCCCTTGAGGGCAAGTGGGAGCCCCCTCCTCCGTTCTCATCATAGAACAGATCTTATCAATCACGTTGAATGACCAATTAATTAAATCCATTTCCAAAAAATAGGGATTTCCAGAAGAAATGCAGAGAAGTGCTCTGTAGGCAGACAGGACAAAGAGCCTTGGGAAAAAAAAAAGATAAGGGAGCAAAAGCAGAAGCGTCTGTTCACTGCGAGTGCCGGAAGTTAGTTTTTGTACCTGGTGGTTGCAACAAACAGACACCATTGAAGGTAATCAGAAGTGAGGAACAGAAAATGAAATAATTATTTTAATGTTTAGAGCAGCAGGAACTCTGAGAGGCAGCAGGCGCATCAGTGAGTTTGTGGCCGCTGCTCAGAGGGAGGGGGGAGAGGGCTGAAGCAGGGGGAGAGGGGAGAGGGCTGAAGCGGAGCAATAAAGATGCAGAAACTACCGTTGTTAAAAGAGACGTGTTTAACTTAGAAAATGTGGGCCAATTTTAATTGTCAAAAACTCCAGCAAGCCAACCAACCAACACCCCCGCGTCGGAAAAACACGCTTGGTCACCCATCTTCAGTTTTAGCCACTTCAGATGTATGACATCATCAACAACTAGTCAAAGTCGACTTGATTTTCATTACTTGACAGTCAACTTTAAAAAAATTAAGTCATGCAGCCCCTACTGCAGTGTGTGTTCCAGCTACAGGGGATCACACTTCTGAGCCTCCCTGGTAAAGTCTGTTCATGGGTTCTGGAGAGCAGCAATGTGGTTTTCGTCCTGGCCGTGGAACACTGGACCAGCTCTATACCCCTCAGGGAGTCCTGGAGGGTGCATGGGAGTTTGCCCAACCGATCTACGTGTGTTTTGTGGAGTTGGGGTTTGAAACTTTTAAAAGTAAAATGTGAGGTTTTCCACCACATGAAAGATACTGTTCCTCACCAGCGTTCATGTGTGTCCATCCATGTGTGTGTGTTTGTGTGTGCACATGCTCATGCCTCCATGTGTGCATGCAGGCGTGCGTGCTTATCCACCTGTGTGTGTGTGCACTTTGCTGGGCCCAGCCCGGGAGCTAACAGATGCAGAAAAGACCGTGAGCGTCGCCGAGGAGACGGACATCGATGCCGAGGAGCTAATTCAGGTGCCGACGGCCGAGGACTCGAATCTCAACAGAGGAGTGACGGATCTGGACGCCACCGCCAAAACACCCGGCTTAGATCCGTCAGAGAACAAGGTGAGTCGCACCTGGGAGGGCTTTAGTAAGTCAGGGAGTTTGGGGCCTCAGAACAGCTGCAGCCAGCAAAAGTTACGCCCAAAACAGGACTGGAATTACATATTTGCACCTTATTTAGAAAATCTGGACATTGTTTTTATTTTTTGGTCTCAAAGATAATTTTTTAGTTGCATTTATTTTTCCTTGAGTTTTTAATTTGAAGTTTCATAACTTTGGGCTGTTCCATTTCATCTTTTCTTGGCATCAGATGACTGCAGGGTGGTTTTAAATGGCTGGTTTGAGACTCCGTTATCCCAGTATAATTTGTCTGTAATCCACCTAGTCTGGGATTAGCTGAGAGTAAAACCTGTTCCTGGTAATAATTTAAATCATACTTTAAAAAAAGATTATAAACTCAGTTTGGGACATGAGGAAATAAAATAAAGCAGCTGAAACCCAAAGTAGACATAATCAATCAAATCAAATCAAAGATACTTTATTAATCCCAGAGGGAAATTAGAGTTTCAGTACACACCATTCAGACATCAGACATACATGGGCAAGACACATGACAAGAATTGGTGACTGTGGTCATTCACAACCCTGAGTCGCGCTACCTTAATAGAGATCAGAGGGTTACATGAGGATTGGTTCAGGTGGAGGGAAAAAAGGCACTTCAGAGTTACCCTCCCACCAGGAGGGCAGCTTTGCTCTGCCAAAAAAAAAAAACACCTCAGACAGATATGCAACGGACTTCAGACAACACAACATAAGTGTCCACTAGGTGGGGTGGTGGGTTGGGACTATCCCCACTTCAGTTCCTGCAGCCACGATAAGCAGCGCATGTCACCTCAGTGTGGATAGGGGGAGGAGCATTGAGGGTTGGAGGGTTGCAGTGACCCTGGAACGTTTCAGCGGCCTTCCCGCAGTCCCGCCCAGGCTGGCAAAGGAGACAGAGTTGAGTTGCCATAACGACGGCACATTCCACATGTCTTCTGAGGGGGGAGTCTTCGTTGGAGCCTTGCAGGCTCAAGGACGCCAGATTCCGATTAGAAATAGTTTTGGGGCCAGACAGAGATAATTTCCTCTCTGTCTTACAGTTTGCTGGTCCTCAACCTCTCAGAATCCCAATAATGGACATTAATCTATCCCAATCCGTGCTTATTCGTCCACTCTCTCCTTGATGGCATCCATCTTTTGTGCCAAAGAATGAATCTCGGCCAAAGTCCCAAGCTTATGATTCATCTAGACAATTATGTGAGTCTGTGAATTCACAGCGCGGTGCAAACCATCTCTGAGCTCCGGGATCAGGCCAGTATTCCTCGACAGCTTGTTAATTTTCCGGTAAGCCAGGAAGCCTCCAAGGCCGATTAGCAGGAAACCTGACACCAACACCACGAATATCCACACGTCTTCAGAATCCTCCACAGACAGCTGAGATAAACAAATCAAGTTCCACTTTTTCCAGGAGTCCATGATGTTTCCAATGGGGTCTGTCCCGGAGGGGCATCCGGGAGCCCCTTCTCCCGTTCTCATCATTGAAAAAATTGTATCAATCGCGTTGAGAGACCAGCTGACGAGATCCATTTAAATTAATTTCAGTTTCCAGTTTCCAGAAAAATGCAGAAGCAGCCGTGCACCCAGCACACAGAGACAGACAAAGGCCTTGAGGATAAGATATGGAGGAGAGGAGGAAAAAAGCGTCTGCACCCTCCAAGAGCCGGAAGAAAAGAAAGCCTGGATTTAGAGCTGCTGTTAATTTGGGACACATTTCTAAAACCTGACATCAAATGTCGAGTCAGCCTGACTCTGAGGCATTCGTGTTTCACACGTCCTTCCAGAGGACTTGTTTTCTCATTTATTTCTCAATTTTTTCAGTTTTGCTGCACAATGGAAACATTTTTCAAAAAGAAAATTGTTTTTCTGCAGTTTTCCATCCCACATTTTGTATCACCTAGAACACAGAATACGGGCCAAAGCTGCAGCTTTATTCTCAGATTTAGTTTGATTTAGTTTGTCAGATTTTCCACGTGCCGCATGTTTTATGTTACGTTTATTCAGCTCTGGTCGTTTATTTCAGCTGCAGCTTCAGATCTACTCAACAAAGTCCTCCTGGGATTCGCTCTCATGTGACTGAGCTGAATATTTGAATACTTTCTGACTTCTTGGAGAAGCCGTTTCAGTTTCATAGCATCACTTTTTTATTTTAGTCTCCAGCTACTAGAGTTCTTAGAAATAAAAAAACCATGATGGCGAGGAGTTGAAAAGGAGCTAGAGTAGGACGCGTTTTATCAGATAACTCGGCATATCTTTCCATTTGATGAGCCTTTATTTTCATGATCCGGAGCTTTATTCAGGATTTTCCCAGTGATCATCATTATTTACATCTTTACTGTAAAGGTTGGAAAGATGGATTGTTGGAGACAGTTTTTTCAAACTGACTAACTTCCCCCTAAAAAGCAGCTGCAAACACAAAATATGTCGTGTTTCGGTGTTTAGTGGCTTAGCAAGACTCTTGACAAACCAGAGGTCTGATCAGAGAGAGGAATTGGTGGGATGAGGTGAATCCACAGGAAGGCCCGGTGCACGGGATTCTGGGAACCAGGGTGTATCCTAGCCAGGCCTGACTTAGCCACAAAAAGGTTATGATAAGTTGTTGAAGCAGATGTGGATATGTTATCTGGAGATAGTGCAGATGTGCATTTTATGGATGAGTTGGTGCAGAATCAGTATGAAACACTGTCTTTGTCCAGCTTTTGTGTCATGTCGTTCCTTAAAGACACAAACTTGATGGATTTATTCAGATCCAGTCCATAAATAAAACCCATCTGCTGTCCAGAAGTTCAAAGTGACTGATTGGTGCTTTTAAGTCTAAACCTGTTGTGTTCATTTGTGTTCCGGATCATTAGTTCTTACAGGTCAGGTCGCATCTGTACCTCTCAGTGAGACAGATGCACCTGTCCACAGGTATTTTGCTCTGCTCTTCAGGAACAAAGAGCTTCAGTTGTCTCTGGTTTAAAGGGCTCCTTCTCCAGATGTTTTCAGCACCTTCCACAGATCTTCAGCACGATGTAGATCAGGCCACGTCAGGATAGTCCAGTAGGGCTGCACGATTATGACCTGAATAATAATCACGATCATTTAGATCAATATTGTAATCACGATGATTAATCATGATTATTTTGATCAATATTGTAATCACAATGATTAATCTCAATCATTTAGATCAATATTGTAATCACGTTGATTAATCGCAATTATTTTTGATCAATATGGTAATCACTATCATTTAGATCAATATTGTAATCACAATGATTAATCACGATCATTTAGATCAATATTGTTATCACAATGATTAATCATGATCATTTAGATCAACATTGTAATCACAATGATTAATCACGGTCATTCGTCTTATCTGGTAAAATATGTATTTGTATTGCACCAATAACAAACAGTGTTGCAACATTTTTCTGTGATAAACAAAACTTTAGAATAATTATGAATAATGCAAAACCCCTCCGAAAAACTCCTATACTTCTACATTTCAAAGTGCTAACTAAATATGTTTTAGCAGAGAGCAATCTAAAAGTGTAACTTAATGGAAATAATTACAGCTTATACAGAAAAGGCCTCTGTGTAGGCCTGTGTAGCTGGTGGTGAGAGGTAACTGATAGCCAGGGGTTCTTCTGGGGATAAATCTGGGTGTTGTGGCTTGGCAGTACCTGGGTCTTACTCTGTTTACCAGGAGTCCAGAATATGTGGAGCATCTCCAGCAGCATCCCATCACTGACCTTGTCCGTTGCTGGTGATGGTGGATGGCTCTTCATCAAAAGAATCTGTAAAAGTATAAATATATCAGATTTTATAAAACATACTCAAGCAGTAAATACAGAAAAGGAAAATTGTTTTATATATATATATATATATATATATATATATATATATATATAACTAAAGCTAGAAATAGAAATATATTTGAACTGTGGAAAAACTTACTGCGACTGGGATGGAAAATCATCTTCAACCACAGATGTACATGGACCTTTTGTTTTCCTGGAAGTAGCAGTAATAGTATATAACAGTACAGTAATAGTATTAGCAGAAATACTAGACAACAAAAACTGGAATGTGTTAAGTTCAGAGATACTTACTGCATTTGGGATGGAAAAACGATGTGGGCACCTTGCTCCTCATCAACCAATCTTGAGGGAAGTTAGCTCCAGAACTCCTAGCTGGTTGGGAATTTGTTTGATGCTGCACAGAGTCAAAAAACCTTGCGAGTGCCTAAAAAGATCCAGTTTTATTTGTCTGAAGAATTTTCTCCAGAACTTCAGGTCTTTTCATCGTGCCTTTGGGCAAATGTCTCATTTTACACCATCAACACTTCATCAACCTGGAGATTCCCGTTCATTTCCTTTTACATCTAGGGAGTCCATCTGCAATCCCATGGAGGCTTTCTGATTAATATGTGCAGCTTTTGAACCTGGATGAAGATGGTCTTCTAGCATTTGCATTTACCCTGCCTGCCAGTTTTAATCTCCCAACACAACTGTGCCATTATCCATCTGTGGTCCATGCCCAGTGGTGTACACACCCTGATACTGAACAGCCCTGTGACTACCTTGCAGCCTTTAAAGTGGGCATACACTTAAGTGTAAATGAATGCCTTGTGGATCCATTTCTGCTTAACAAAACACGCCAGCGCTCCCGTTTCAGAGGGTAGAAGTCTGTTAGGATTTTGAGTCGTACTCATTAATATTTACGGATTTGCAAACATCTCGCCAAAGGTTGGCTAACAGCAGCGCAGCTCTTCTTCTGCCTCTGTTCGTTCTTCTTTCTTGGGTAAAAAAAAAAATACAACGTTGGTGTTTTATCTCCACTAATAACACAAGCCTGAAGGAGCTCCGCCGCGTTGTGGAGTTGCTAATGCTAACTGTTAGCTTTTATTAGCCAAGATCCTCTCTGGTCTCTCGTGGATGCTAAATCAACAACAGCCGTCCGTGGTTATTAGCCAAGGTGGGCGGGGTCAAGAATGCAAAAATTTCCTTTGACGTGGAACTGTCTGTCTTTTTCTGACGCGAGTCTTTCCACGTTTGTTTTCTTTCAGCGGCTAATGCAGAAATTATGGGCTCGATACACGGAATGCGACAAACTACCGCGATCAGCGAAATTTGTTGCTGTCACTTTTATTACCTGACACACGGGAGGCGACCCGTGGCAGCGGCCAGCGTCAAAGCCGTTGACGCGTTCTGTTCCATGGCCAAATCGAAACTTCCATTGTTTTGACTGGCTGTGTCAGGTTGGAGGGAACTAAGGTCATTTAAGTGGTTCAGAGTTTAAAAAGCGGTAGATATGATGTTTCACAAGGTGCTGCCAGAGTTATGTGAAATCTTACTTCTGATTTTACTATATTTAAAAAAAAAGAGCAAGTAGGCAAGCATGGAGGAGCAACTTCTCCTCCATGTTTGCTCGGAGATGTACGGAGCATCTTGTCCGCTCATTGGTCAGTGAATGAAACCTCCATTGATTGGTCCTCGTCTGAGCGACAGCGATGAAAAGTTGAAAATATTTCAACTTTCTGGGATTGCGTCGCTGGGTTGCCTGTGCATGACACGTGCACGAGCACAAAATTTCACATGCACGTTTTTCGCGTTTTGCTTAGTAGGAGGGAGACCCGCGATTATCGCTTTGTTACGCATGTCTCATTGAAATTGAATGGAGGAGAGGCGATGTTGCCTCCCATGTATTGAGCCCATTAGGGCTAGAAGACGGTTCTCAGGGTCCGTCCGCTTGACTCGGTGCCAAACTAAAGACACCTGAGATGCAGATTTTTTATTAGATGACTTTTTAAGTATTGATGCTTTTGTGAGCACCAAGTTATCTGAGTGGCTGGCTCACCACTCATGCTAAAAATCTCTGACTCTGACTTTATTACTCGTAGTTCACAAGTTCAGTCTGCAGCTGCCCGAGGCTTGAGGGTCTGCTAATTTGGAAACATGACTTGATAATAGCGATGGGTACCGAATTCGGTACTTTTTAAGGTACCGACCGAATTCCATAATACCGGCTGAGCACCAATTCACGTCATTTGAAACGGTGCCTCGTTTCGGTACCCGTCCTTCATAACGAGAACTTGCCTAGACAGCTGTGCATACGTAAGAGCGTTATGTCGTCGGTCGCTGCGAGCGAGTTGTAAACAGAGCAGCATGGTAGAAAGAACGCACGCTAAAGCTTGGGTCCACTTCACTAAATGTGATGGGTAACTGGGTGATGATGAAACCAGCGACAACGATCTAAGTGAGACATCCTCATCTTAATCTGCTCCGGTAGGTAAATAAAATGTTTAAGATAACGTTAGCTTGATATGTTAGCTTCCGTTCCGCTAATGGTGCGTTCGCTTTCTCCTCGGAACTCCAAATTTCCGAGTAGAACAACATGAACGCGCTCTAAAGTTTGGCTTCACTTTACTAAATGCGACGGGTGATTGGGTGAAGATAAAACCAGCGACAACGATCTAAGTGTGAGGCATCATCATTTTAATCTGCTCCAGCAACTAAATAAACTGTTTAAGATAAAGTTAGCTTGATAAATTAGCTTCCATTGCCACCATTGTTATCAGCTAATGGTGCGTTCGCTTTCTCCTCGGAAATTCTAACTTCCCAGTAGGAAAAATCAAATGAAAAAGGACGGCAAAAGGAATGAAGATACACAGTAAATTTAGTTCTCAGCAAAGATGTTTGCTTCAGTTTAATTATCAGCTTATAAAACTACAAGGACGATGTTAAAATAAAAACAGTTGTATGTTATTTATCGTGATATTTATCAAATATGGTTATATATTGAGAAAAATATATATTTTATTATAAAAGATAATTAAAATATTAAACACTCAATAGTATCTAAAATTGGTACCGTTACGTACCGGTATCGATTCCTAGGTAACGGGAATTAGTACCGGATCGATTCAAATGTCAAAGGTACCCATCCCTAGTTGATAATATAAAGTTAGAATCAGTTAGAGTGTGATTCAGGTAAGTGCTGATAGAGTAGGCCAGGGCTGAGGAAGTTAAGCCCCGTTGGTGATTAAAAATGATCACTCAGGTTTATTTTAGCGTGAAGTCTTTATGCGAGTTACTAATACCAGTTCAGACTGGTTTAATGTGGTTCATTCATAAAAGCTAAAACCATGAGCCAGATAACGACTTTAAAGGTTAATGGTGTGGTTTGGCGTTACAGGCAGTTGGAGCACAAAGATCCTGCAGACTTTTTCTCAAGGGCCCTCGATGAAGTTGTAAATCTGTAGCTGAGGCTGTTGCCGGTGAAGGGGAGCCAGAACAAGACAAATCGTGTGTGTGTGTGTGTGTGTGTGTGTGTGTGTGTGTGTGTGTGGGAGGAGGCCGTCTGTTTGACAGTCGGTGAGCAGCGAGTGTAATCACAGCTGTAGGAGGGGAAATGAGCACTTCCTTTATCCCTCATCATCCGTCTCTAGCTAGCTTTCTGTCTCATTTTTCTCATCTAAACGTCTGAAACAACGATCCGAGTTTCCTCCAGACAACCAGGTTAGGCATCTGCACGCGTTTTCTTTTCTCCTTTTATTTAAATTCATTACCTTTAGACTAGTTTATTGTGTTTTAGTTCATTTAGTTTGAAAGGAAATGACCCATTCTTCTACAAAAATGTACATTTTCTATGCATTACATGTGTTTGGCTGAACGGGTTCATAATTACAGATCAAGGACCTGACTTTCAGTTTAAACCCCTGCTTGGCCCTGAGGGGCTGCACCAATCAGACTTTTAATCTTTCAGTAGTTTATTGAAATGTTTATTTGTTTGTTTATTTTCACTTTTATACAGACACAACCATCTTTTCTCCCAGTTAACCAGTTTAGCAGGTGCTAAGTCCAGTTCTGGCTCCAGCTCTGGTTCTTAGATACTTTATTAGTTCAGCAGATCACAAAGCAGCAGGCACATTTGGATGTCAGGACTGTTTAACATCTAATATAAATGTTTTGGGGCATTTTATGTTTGCAATCTCAAATATGTGAGATGAAGATGAAAAACTTGTGTTTTCATTTATTTTAACTGCAGGAAAAGCAATCGTTGTGTTTTTCTGCCACCTGGAAGCAGAAATCTCCCGGCAAACGCTGGAAGGGACGGATCTCTCAACACTTTGTAGCCATTAAATAGATTTTTATTATTTGGATGATGATGGGTGGGACTGCTAATAGGTGCCTTTTCCATCTGTTCATGTCTCCATTTCTTGCTGACTGTCTGTAGGAATGTTGTTCCGTCCACGGTGTCAAACATGTCATCAGGTTATCTCTCCGTTGCTCCCAGTGCTGAATCCTCTCATTCACACTTCCAAGTTCTAATTCATCTCAGCTTGCCTGACAGCTTCAATGCTCATCCTCCGACACAAGCACACACCCACATGCCCCCCTCCCCCCATGGAAAAAAATCAATGGGCTGAGATCAGATGAGCCAAACCAACTAAGATAAGGATAAGGAAACGCCATCAGGGGAGCCATCTGCCCCGACAGCAGCAGATCCACAGCAGCAGCCGAGGCACCGACACAGGGCGCCCAGGGCAGGGAGGGCGGAGACCCCCACCTTCACCCTGGCACACCTGGAATGCACCCAGGCTGCCACATCCTCAATCTCATGGAGCAAAAACTCCAAAACAGTTTTTAGAGAGTCCGTTCCTGTCAGAGGACCGTCTTTGCTGTCCACGTCCGTGTGGACAGCAGGGGGACCTGTGCAGGTTTAAGATGGAGGGTTTACTGTTGGTGTTGGTGTCGATTCACGGGGGTAGAAAGAGCTTTTCTGCTGCTCTGTGCCCCTAATCGTGTCCCGAAACAGCCTGTCAAGCTTGATAATTAGCCCCTACTAACATGAGAGCCATCTCTGACAGGCCATACACTCAGTCATACACTCGTCTCGTGCAGTGTGTGCTTGAGTGTGTGTGAGTACATGGCTGTCTGTGTGACACCAGACGGTGCAGATGGCAATCTGGTTTCATGCAGGTTCCTTAAGGCGGTGTAGGGTTCATTTAAATCAGGTGAGGGCCAGTTTGGTGCTTCCTGTCGGTTTGCAGCGCTTGTCTTTCTCAGTTTTCTAAGTGATGAAACTTTGTTGGAATTCAGTCAAAGTGTTCGGGTTTGGCTGTCTGACAGCGCCGTAAAACAAACGCTGAGAAAGCAGGAGCGACACACACTGCAGGACTTTTAACACGAATCACAGAGAAAACAGTTTGCTGCCTTTGTCACTGAATGTAAATGTGTGCGGTAGTTCATCAGTAATGGTGGCAAAGATGTCTGAACACCAGTTCAGTCATGTGACATTTTGAGCTTTAAAAAAAATAGAGACCTGGAACCCCCCAAGGCGCTTTATAACACAATCAGTCTTTCACCCATACACACACAGTCCTACAATTCAAGCCCACATTTACTTTGTTGTTGAGTATAAGCAGCTTGGGGTGCTTAACTCATTCACTGCCAGCCGTTTCCTGGTCGCTAAAGCCCTTCTCTGCCAGCGTTTCTCATCGTTTTTACAGTTTTTTTAAGAGTCACAGAACATTGCGCGCAAGGATGATGTCGACGCCAAAACAACCAAAACAAAGCGGAGACTCACCTCTTACATCAGGAAGATTCCGCGCGTTTCGAGCGTTATCCGTTCTTTCATAATCCGTTGTTTATGTTTATGTTTATTCATTTAGCAGACGCTTTTATCCAAAGCGACTTACAATTTATAACCTATAGGGCATGTTGTGATCTGTGGGGGAAACCGGAGTACCCGGAGGAAACCCACGCATGCATGGGGAGAACACGCAACTCCACGCAGAAACGCCGCAGCCGAGTTTTAGAACTCTGTGTAGAATCAGGAGCAGATAGATGTATTTAAGTCCTTTATTTGGAAAAAGGGTATTTTTGGCTTCTCGAACAACAGACTGCCTTGTTTACCAACATCTGTTGTGAGTATGTCACGTTGTTCATTGTCCAGTAGCATGCGGAGATTGTGAGAAAGACAACAGTAGAATCCGCTCCACGACCTAGAGCCGACAGTAGAGCATTGCCAGACTAAATAATGTATTTGTTTAGTCTGGCTTGCCAGGCTAGTGCAGCGTAGCGTCAGTGCCTCTGCTAGCTAAACTGTTTTTGTCAACGTCGTGGACCGTGACGTCAGTGTAAACAACTCAACGTGACTCATGGTGAGTTGTCAAAATAAGATAACTTGATTGAGTACAACTAATGTCAAACATTTCACAGAATTTTTAATCTGTTATAGTCAATTTATTCATTAGATTTTTGTTTTATTTTCCCACCATAAAATTAGAGGCTATTTTCACAATATTAAAAAACCGTCAAATGTGGGCAAAAGCAGCCCAATTTTCATCCACCCGCCCAATGCATTTTTTCCCCGCCAAGTGTGACTAAAAGAAGCCTAACTGGGTGGAAAACTGCCCAAACTGGCAACCTTGCCTGAGGCTGAGGCCTTCCCTGGAGCAAGCAGGAGGCAAGCTGCTAGCTCTAGCACTCATTGCTCCTCTGACACCTGTCAATCATAAGGACACGCCCCTAATGGAACATACTTTCAAGCTTTATTTGCATCTAAACAGATGAGTTACAAAAACAAATCCCCCCAAGTTGTCATGACGCTAAACTTGACCTATTAAACCTAAAATGTTTTTCGTACCAGGCTGTAAACATGTTTATTTCTGCTGTGAAGTTGGCATTTTTAACATGGAAGTCAACGGAAACTTGCTCTTTTCTGGAGCCAGCTCCTAGTGGATGAAGGGTGAACTGCAGTTTTTGTCACCTCAGCGTTAGTTTCACTTTTGGTAAGTGGAGCTTTCCTCTTGGCCGAGACTCGCTCTAATCTCGCCTTACAAGATGGGCGGGGCCATGAATACTAATTTTCCATGTGACATGGAAGAAACCGTTTTTTTCCGACCCGATCTTTTTCCCGTTAATTTCCTTTCTGCTGCTGAAACAGGCGATGGGGGTGGAACAAAAGGCAGGCATGTGCAGCTCAGCCTGACCACTCACATTTCAAAAAGAACAGGTGTTACCTGGTTTCTGTGGTAATCAGGCCTTTAAATGATGGTTCAAAGTGGTGAGCCCTAAAGTCATAGCACACCATACAGCTTCATGTAATGGTGCATTTGCTGGGGTTGTGGGTTTTTAATGTTGCAGAGGAGAAAGGGAATCAAAAATACTAAATATTCACATGTAAAAAGTAGGACTGTTTATGAAAAGCTTTAAAGCTGCTACGTTGCATCCTGGTAGTTGGAGGAGAAACGAGTCCCAGAGCTCATTATTGTTGGAGTGGAAGATTTTTGTGCCACTGATTAAAACTCAGTCAGTGCTGCTTATTCCAGAGCTAATCAGCAACTGAACATTTCAAATTCAGGTTCTTGTTTTGATGAAGGCCCATTCTCTGAGGCATCTTTGTGTTGCTGTTGCTTGTCTTGTGATTCATTCATTAGTATTCCTTTTGTTGTGTGTGTTTACTTCCTGAACTGTACAGTTAGAGAGCAAATTTATCAAGTCTTGGATGGTTTGTGCTTTATCTTCTATGGATTTTAAATGCTTTTTAATGGTTAATTAAAAGAAAATGTAAAATTATCTCTATCTATCTATCTATCATCTATCTATCTATCTATCTATCTATCTATCATCTGTCTGTCTGTCTGTCTGTCTATCTAGAATGGTATTGTTCCATCGAGTCATTGCCAGTATCAATTGTTTACACCGTGTCTCCTTCCTCCTGGTCTCAGGCTTCAGAAGAGGCTTCTGTCCTGTTGTCCAGCCCCAGGATGCTGCTCCCAACATCTGGCCCACTTCCACCTGGAGCGCCGTTGTCCGTCCACCACCAGATCCAGCTGCTGCAGCAGCAGCTCCAGCAGCAGCAGCAGCAGACTCAGGTGGCCGTAGCACAGGTACGTTCCTCTCTTCTTCGTTAGGAGTAAACCTGTTTTCTGGTGATTGGTGGTCATTTGGGGGGAGATATTTTAAATGTGGTTTTGGTGTTGACCAGTTTTCACACAAAGGCGGTGCCCTGACCAATCACAAGCTTGGGTTCTCCGTCTCAACGGACGGATGTTTAGAAAGGAGAGCTCGACTCCGGCCGTCCTTGTGAGGCTCTCCAGCAGGCTCGCAAGGACGGATAGGCGTTGCGTGTCTCCTCACTGACGCAGAAGCATGACTCAGGCTCAGTGGCGGATTTAGCAATTTGGGGGCCCAAGGCGAACACAGACATGGGGCCCCTTACACAAAATTTTCGACAGTCTAATCTTTAACTGGATTTGCGAAACTCTCCCCTCTTCTGACACGAGTTTTTTTCTCTTTTTATTAGTCCTCCTCTTTTTCCTGTATTCCCCTCCCTTTGAGCGCTTTCAATATTTCTTTTTCCTGTCAGTGCTCCTGTGCTTTTGCCTGTGGTTTTTTTTTTCATTTTGGTCTGTTTTCCTCTCTTTAAACATTTTCCATTGTCTTTCCTTTCTGCTTCCTTTTGATGTTTACATAGAAAAACAAGGTCCTTTCGGAAGTGAAGATAAAAGCTTTTATGCAGCATGCTGCTTCTTTCTCTTATTGGAGCCACTAGGATAACTCCATGTCATGCTTCATGTTTTGACTACCGCTTTGAGTTTGTTACGAACGCTACCGCCTCTCTTCTTATTATTATTTGTGGTCTTATGGCACTTGGCAAACAACAATTTGGTGCATTACCGCCACCAACTGGATTGGAGTGGAATGACTACCAATCACTTCTTGTTTGTGCATCACTGTCTTAATAACCCTCTTATGACCATAATTATAACTGGTATTTTTTTAATCTTATGGCTGTAAAATTGTAATACAGAGTGCAAAGTGTGTGTAACTCTTCTCCTTTTTCAGAACAACCTCAGCTTTTAGTGAATGGTTTGTATTTAGAATTTATTTCTATTAAAGCCTTTAAAAAATCAGCTTAAAAGTGAAAAAAGCAAAATAGAATTTTTTACTTTTATTACTGAGCAGGAATTTCAAAATTACTGGGCAAACAATTTAAACTTTGAACTGTAATGCATCTATTCTTTAAAAAGTTTGAACCTTGGTATCTTTTAAAAATCATTTCTTTTTGTAAACTTTCAGACGTTTTTATTTGATGGTAGACCTTGAAGCAGTTTCTCTCCAGCTGCAGGCAGAGTCCTGCACACCTCACACTGCCATGGGGTGCTTCTCTTGCACACCGTGCACTGCTATAGCAAAAACTTTTGTTTTAGCAAAAATTATAAATTATTTATAAAATTATAATTATTTATTGTAAAAAGATAAATAATGCTGGAATGAAGCTGAATCTTAAAATTAGCAAACAGTTGAGGGTTGTTCAAATAAAAGAATTTAAATATAAAGACAAAACAAACGTTAATACCCTGGTTCACTGGAGATCTGTCCTTCTTCGTGGACACTGTCTTCAGATATAAGCCTTCTGGGACACCTAATAGATCGTGATGATTTTCTTTGAGGCATTTCCATAATTTCATGCTGGCTTTTTATGCTAATTAGCTTCCCCGTTCCGTTATCCTCTTTCACCGCGGCGCTCGGTTTCAATCAGGCTGTACAGCAGGATTTCCATAACTCTGATTGCTTCATGCTATAGATCGTTGGAAAGCTGTTTTTATGTACTTTTAGGAACTGTTGGATTTTTTTAATCTGATCAGCCATTCAAAAGTTATAAAACGGAGCAGTTTGGATGACAAACTTGTATCTTGTATTGATGAAAATGTCCGGTTTTTCATCCAGGAGCAGGGATCAAATTATGGGGGAGCTGGATATCGTACACATCCAGGGAGAGCCGGAAAAACTGTTTCTACCTATTTTACATCATTTATGGACTCAGCGTCGTTGGTGCGCTCTAGGCAGCTGCGTCCAGCGCACGGTCCATTCTCAAAGTGGCGCAGCCCAAAAACTATAATTAACACACGATCGTTCATGTCCGCTCATGTTCTCTACTTTCTGTCTTATTTGTGCCTGAAGCTCTCAGCTACTGCGGAGCTCATCACCTGTGCTGCGGTGATGTCACCTCACTGACGCAGCATCGAAACGCGCTCTCCGCTTTGCAATCAGGAGATCCCTTTGATCTGCTCAGAAGTAACTGATGAGGTGAAAAAGTAAGAATCCCGGCAGCAGATTTTCTGGAGAGTTTAGAGGAGATGCAGGAAGATGAGAGACAGACAGGACAGGAAATAGTTAAATAAAAACAAGAAAACAAAACAAAGTGTTGAAAAGTAAAATGTAGGTAGATTTATCTCCACGACACGTTTTTACCTGTATTAAACAATAAGTTACACACACGTAATATTTATACATCTGATACAATTCAGATCACCTTCAACACTCAGTCGCACACCCAGGGCCGTTTCAAGACATTTTGGGGGCCACGGCAAAACAGAACACCCCCCACCCCCCTCCCCAGAAGCCTCTGTGTAATCCATACCCTCTCCAGTAGTGTTAGTTATACAGTGTTTGTAAAAAAACCCTCAGACATGACTGACATGTTCTAATATTATCAGATGAAAAATTAAATTATCAGACATGCTGTCTCATCTGCTGCTTTTCTAAACTTGCAAAAAGTAACAAAACCGATTGAAAGCCACTATTTGTGGATTCTCTGAAAGTTTCCGTGGAGTGTGGGACAACTTATTTTTTCATTGATCCTATCGTCTAATCTCACAGCTGAAACAAGCATCCTTAATAATCTGTGCACAGGAAGCGTACCGATGCTGTAGTAAAACAAAAGGTATAATAATTTATTATTAATAAAACCTTGTTGCAGCACTAAAGCAGAAAATCAGATTTTGCATTAAATATGCAAAATATTTACATATGAATTGTTTTAGAGCCCTTTTATTGGCAGAATCTGATATTAATTTAGTTCTTACAAAAAATGGGTCCCAACGTGGTTTGTGTGGCGTTGCCATAGTGTGACGTCATAGGCACAGATCCCCTGTCCTCTTGTTTGGAAATGGAAATATGGTCACCCTACATTAAACAAACTGTCCACCCGGGCTTTTGCACTGCACAGAGACGCTTCGCTGCCTATGACTTTGAACGTCAGTTGAGAGTCAGTCTCATGCAGACTGACCAATGAAGAGAGGGCCTCAAGTTAAGACCATCTCCTCATTGGTCAGTCCACATGAGGTGGGTCAAAGGTTACCCTGAGCGGGTTACGTGATGTCAGGCATTCAAGTATAGAGTATATTTACTGCATATTACAGTAAAATATTCTGTATGTGACCATATTATGGTGATCCTTGGGTTGTGATGATGGGGCCCTTGAATATTGTTGCCCAGGGTACAACAAAGTGTTAATCTGGCCCTGTGCTCAAGACAGGGAATCCCGGTGGCTACCGTAATGTATTGTATATGCACGAAAAGCCCCATTTTTAATCTTTTCAGCACTTTTGGAATTTTACAGATATCTTGAACGGTTCAGGAATTATGGTAATGAGAAGTGTGCATGTCCAATCCCGTCTGCAGCGACAGGTTGGTAATAAGAATATTGTGGCATTAACAGAGGGGTGCCGGCAGTCAAGGCTAGGGGGCCCCCCAACACAAGGGGGCCGCAGGCGGCCGCCGACCTATGCCTAATGGTAAAACCGCCACTGCTCAGGCTTTAGCAAAGTGTCGGAGTTTCCTTGTGCAGGTCGGGGGCATCGTTGTCGTGTGGCTGGACTTCTAAACGCGTCAAAGCAGGCGTCTGTGAACCAGTCTCTTCAGTTCAAGGGGAGTCAGAAAGGGTAAAAAATAATATCAAACCACTGTCAGATGACTTGGGAAACAAATGTGGACATCATTGAAGGACTAACACGTTCAAAAGCCAGTTTTGATTCTTCTGATGGCACAAACCGTAGCAGAGATTTTCTATGCATCCCAGATTGAGTCAACAATGAGCAGGAAGGAGGAAAAGCTTCAGGAGTCCTCAAAACAAAAATGTCCTGCTTGTCTTCGCCTCATTTTATCAACACAAGATCATAGAGACAATTGTTTGGGCTTGTCAAAATGACAGAAATGTCAGACCTGAACGTCTCCACTGATTGTGGAGTTGTTTCCTTCAGTGCTGTCACCTCAATAACACAACTACAGCAGAGGCCTGCGATAAACAGAGATGTAGTGAAGAGGTATTTTCTGACAGATCAGTGACTCTGAGCTGTCTGCAAATGTCCTCTGTTTAGGGAAAGAACAGAAGCATCTTTTTATCTGAGACGATTTTTATTTGTGTTTGTTTTGTTTGTGTTTCTTCTGCTTTAGCCCCTGAGAAAACGTGTTTTCCTTTCTGGATTTAACGCTTTAAGACACAGTATGTAAAGCTGGGTGTACACTGTGCGACTTTTTCACTTTTTTGAGCCAATTTTCCACTCGTGCGAGAATCCACAAGATCGGGGTGAGTTTTGTGTAATGGTTTAATTTACATGTTATTTAATGAGCCATAAGACATAAGATTCCATAATAAATATGAAATCAACCTTATGGATCTGTAGGTACTGTTTAACCAGAAGATTGGAACTTTTTATTGCAGGGATTATGTAACAGCTTCGTATTAATTCAGAGACAACAGAAGAGAGAGTCAAGTTTTTAAATTTTAAAGATTTATTGCTAAACTAATTAAGACTAGACTGACTTTAACACTAAATGTATGGTGTAACTAAGGTGAATGAGATGGAGAATGGTGTGGTGTGGAATGTTGCTCAGAACCAGCAAATCCAAAGAAACGATTAGTTCTGGTGGGAACTGAAGGTGATGTCTTTGCGCTAAGCTTTGGTTAGGAGATTCATAAACACATTCGACACCATTCTGTCGGTCTACGTACCCTTAGCGGAAGTCCCCGTCTAGATCAGGAGGTGTAGAGGTCCAGCTTGACCTTTGTGGAGCTGAAGCTTGTAGAAACAGCCGCGGCAGC